CAAGAGCTTGTAACACTCCAAAGAGAAAGGAAAAATTTAAATCGCATCATATGACCCCTTTAAAACAATGCAATTTTTTTTCATGAATCTCAAGAACCAAATTAGAGGGCTGTGGGCCGCACTTTGGGAAACTCTGCTCTAGACAATGCACAGGAAATATTCAATCCTTAGATTTAAAAGTATATCAGAGTCTTGAGCATTGAAGCTCATCACTAATTTCCTAATCTCTGAGGAAGAGATTGCAGTTAATTGCATTCTAGTGAAAATACTAAAAGAAATCAAAATGGTCCAGTGCAGTATGTTCTATAGCCAATTGTCTTTAGATTGAATCTCCTTTCGGCTTTCTTAGTGTTGCATTAACAACTGGTATTGTTATTTCAGGTTTCAGTTTTATTGCATTTCTCTTCATTGTTGTTTTTCATTCACTTTACTTACCCAGAGCCAAAGCCTTAGTAGAAGAATTGAGCCTTTTAACCCTAAAGTTCAGGTAATTGTTGCTGTCTACTAAATACACTTCTCTTCTATTGCTTTAATTCATTGGATAACGCACAGTAGAAAAATGACTGCATTTCCAATTGTTTATTATCTCAGTTTGAGCATTCGAAGACTTCTTTACCTATTCATTGTTGTTGCTGTTTTAAGCGTAGTTTATCTGATTGTAAGGCATAAATCATATGCATGCAATGAATTAGCACAAAAATATTTGAAGAGACACCCGAGTGTTGGCAGACGTGGAGCAATGACGTAACACCTCTAACCCTGTGAGACGTTCACCTGTGGCGTTTGCCTGGACAGAGGAGTACTGTGTCTCTTTAAATGTTTTAGTGATGCAGAGTTTGTCGGGACATAAAATTTGATTATTTTTCCATGTAACATGAAACTGCATTGAATCCTGATACTCATCCATACCGTTTAGAAAGAAGTGATTCAGAGTACTTAATTGTTTTGGAGATTCATTCATTTGCTGACTGATTCAAAAACTGTATTTCACATTTGTAATTATACTAATGCTAAAAACATTTTTGTTGGGTACTAACACTGCTGGTAGTTTCATGTTGCAGTTAAGGATATGTTAAAGGTACTGTAAGTTATTGTATGCATAAAATATCACTGCTAAGTGATAAATATCACTAAAATAGGTGTCCTAAGAATGCATACATGTCTCTGTGACAGCGAAAAGGAAAAAAAAACTTTTTTTTTAGCCTGTCAGAAATCTAGCCAATCAGAAAGTCTCTCTGCCTGTCAATCATTTTGCCATCAAGCTGGCTGACATGTTTTTGGAGAGTGGAGTTGGATAAAGGGCTATTTCAGTTGCAAAATGTCTTATATAATTTCACAGCACCTTTAACAGTCCCTGTTTTATTTCTTTTCCTAAGTACAGAGATGTGTGAAATAAGCAAACTGTAACCACTTGTACCTGAGGAAACAAGATGTGAATGATTTTAAGGTTGTTTGTAGCAAAAATCAAAAACCAAATGCAGTGTTAATGTCAGCATTGTGCCTACAGCTCTTCACATTTCCCTCAGCAATATTGCAGATGTTCTATTTTGGGCAACATTATTGTCCTTAATGCACAGCAACCTCTGATTCTGTTGGGGATTTTGTAATGGTACAATTTGTTTGACCTAGCCCTCCTTGTAACACATTGCCTTGTTTTCTTTTTTACATAAAGTATGGAACGTCCTTCATTGCATGTGTTATTCTGCGGCCTGAGACATTTGTAGGCATTTACTTTATAGAAAGAGTTCTTTTCCTATTACTACAAGCAAGTATGGGCTCTGGCTTAGAAGATCTAGCATTTTATTTGTTATGTTTGTGTTGTTTCTGTGTGTGTTTGATAGGGCTGCACGATAAATCGCATGCGATATTTAACGCGCATCTTGTCAGAAAAGCCGGTTCTGTAATCAGCGGTAAATCTCCATCACGTGGTTTGACTTCTAAGTATTTTTCTGTCATGTCCATACTTGTCTGAGAACCAAGCTTGGCCTGTCACGCATCTTAGCATGTGCAATACTACGATACAATGCTTATCAAACTCTCTTTTCTTAATGTGTTTAAATGAAGCAGCCGATGATGTGAAGCCTGAGAACACAAGTCCCTCTTCATCTCAAGCAGGCTCTGATGTTTGTCCCCCTGCAGGTCAAACA